CCCACAATAGAAAATATTCTATTTTACTCTATTTTACTACAGTCTAATACTCTATTTTGTTGTGTATTGCTGTTTTAGTGCTAATATCACACAATAACATCACTTAAATGGAAATCAGAAAAAAAGTCAAACTGTTACTGTATTATGTCTCCCTGTTATTAAATGCTTTACCTCAGGTTACTTATCACTAACAATTTAATCTATTCTTTCTTAATGCATCAAATAGAGGCTATCAACTGCTTAAATGCAGCCATCGACATATATACAGACATGGTAAGACAAAAGCAGGTTTAAGTGGTTAGGTCACTCTGTCTTGTCCAGATATCACTCAGAACTTCATCCTAATTGCCGTGTCTGTGCTTATTTAAGTGTCACTCTTCTTTCACAGGGACGATTCACAATTGCAGCCAAACATCACATGACTATTGCGGAAGTGTACGAGTCCGAACTGGTGGATATTGAAAAGGTGGGATCTGCACGCAAATATTTGTTTACTGCTATTGTTTAGACAGGCAGCTCTACTTTGACAACCTAAAATATTACAGGGTAATATAACTGTGGCAGTTTAAATGATCTGATAAGATCCTTACACACACTGACTTCCTCCTGAGTGAGGACCCATAAGCATCCTAGTAAACTATAATGGCAGATATAAATATTTAAAGATATTTAATTGGATGTCATTTCCATTTCTGTGTGAAGATGTAGTGATTTTGAAATGAGCGTCATTTCCATTTTTCACTGTCTTTGTTTTTAATGGGCATAAATGAACCACAATCTTAGATTAAACAGCTTTTCAGAGGAAAAAATCCATTAACAGTTTCCAGTAAATGATACAGTCCAAGGCTGTATTGTACTGTGTGCACATAAATTTCATGTGAGATGCCTGTCAACAAATTGGTGATTTAACAGTCATGTACGTGTTATAAATCAAATGTTCATATTCATATGTGTTCTTTGATATTATTGTTCTCCATAACATATATTTCTTCACTGACATTCATAACATAAATGTAGGGAAACCTAAATCTATTAAGATTAGATTTTAAAATATGCAAGATCTGCATACTGTAAAAACGTACATGTTCATAATGCAGTACTGTAATAGGATACGGTCTAGTGAGTCAAAACCATTGGGGTATCTGAGTACACATGTCATTGTCTAGGGTCAATAACAGCCCAGCAGAGATGTTGATGATGACTGGCACATGCCTGCACTGGCAGAGATGTACTGCCCCTTTAGCAATACAAAGCTGAAAATTTGTTTAATTGACTTTTTTGTTGTTGAAAAACAGGTGAGAAGTTAAAAGACAAAAGCTGTAACAGCTTGAAAATAATTAAGTCTCTAAGTCTCTATTAACTTGACCAACATGGTAGTCATAGTTGATAAATTCATATAATTTTGACAGGATTTATCAATTTGAAAGCAAATCCTTTAAGATGAGCTTTGAAAATGCCCCAGCATTTGGCCACTCATACATGCTAATTTGCCATTATTAAACTAGAACCAGATTTGTGCTAAAGTTGGCAAATTAAAACACGTTGGCATACTAACTTTCCATTGTCTTTGGTTTCAGGCAATTGCCCATTATGAGCAGGCAGCTGATTATTACAAAGGAGAGGAATCAAACAGGTATTTCTTTTTTTTTATCTTATAGGACACTTTGTATGTGATATTTGTAACAAGTTTTTTTTCCTATGTTTTGGTTTTCACATTTTTTTCCATATTATTAGCTCCATACTGGTTGCATGGCAGGATGAACAGTTTGCTAGGATTTCAGAACTGGTGATAAAAATCTCTTATATTGCTTCAGTACAGGATAAAGGCTCTTTTTATGAATTACAAAATTATATAATTTCTTATCTCAATTTCCAAGTGAACATAAAAGGTTTCATTCCAAGATGTATTATTCACCACTTTCAAGAATTTTCTTTTCTTTTATGATGTACATTGTTGGGAGTAGGCTTTACACATACAAGATAGATCAATGCTTTATTATGATTAATATCACCTCTGTTAGAGAAATAAAATGTGTTTTCTATTATACATTGGCTGTTACTCTTTCCAATGACTTGTTATATCCAAAAAAGTCTTACAAATGGATATACAGCACTTTGGAATGAAACTCTCCATTGCCTGAATGGATTGCGGATACAACAGTAGAATGCAGGGAAGAGGAAGTGTTTCTCAAACACATTTTCTCTTCATAAATTAAAAAATCAGACATAATGAAACTGGATTTACTGTTTTCTTTCACACATTGTTATGTGCTTGTAGTCACACTTTGTCTGCTTAATTCCAATGTGTAATTTTAGTGACTCCAGATGTAATTGCTGAAGTCCAGCTGCCTGAGTTGTTGTGTCTAAGATATTTTCTGATATTTCTGATTAAACTTCCTGAATTTGACAGATTTTTGACAGTTTGAGTTTTGTTGTTTTCTTTCAGCTCTGCCAATAAATGTCTTCTGAAAGTTGGGTTTTATTGCGCACAGCTGGAACAGTATCCTAAAGCCATTGAAATCTTTGAACAGGTTTGTGTGCCAGTTTTAAATAAATAATAACCTTTAAGCTTAAATGAAATGTAATCCAGTATAATCACACATTTCTCCTCTCACCAGGTTGCAACTAGTACAATGGATAACCCACTACTGAAATACAATGCAAAAGAGTACTTCTGGAAGGCTTCACTGTGCCACTTCATTGTGGATGAATTAAATGCAAAGGTTTGTGCCTTTTCAGCTCAGCATGGCCTACCATTTTAACACGCGCATAATATTTTTAAGGCTCTGGAATTCTGAAGTTATATTCCTTACTTGATGGGAAGCAAACATGTTAACTCATATATGACTGTTTATGTGTGATCAATTGCTTTTGTTCTTGAGATTTATATGTTGGATTACTTTTATCATCATGAATGTACTCCATTTTTTATAGCTGGCCATAGAGAAGTACGAGAGTATGTTTCCAGCATTCTCAGACTCTAGAGAATGTAAGCTTCTGAAGGTAAAGTGATGGAAATGTTCAAAAATTATTTTTACTAATAAGCAATAGGAATGCACCATTTCAGATTCCCATTTCTTTACAGCCAAATTAGATGACGGCTGTTGTTCTGGATAAAGTTTTATTATTACATTTATTTTTCTTTTTTCTTTTCACACTGTTCAGGCTAAATGAACACATGAAACAAACTAGCGCAATTCCAGTTCTTTCTGATTGCTAAAGTTGCAGTACAGTTTAAATTTAAATCTTGGCTTCTCCAACTGCTTAGCTAGTAGTGTTGTGCTGTGAACAGTGTCTGAACCTCAAGTTTCTCTTTGTATAGAAACTACTGGAAGCGCATGAGGAGCAAAACAGTGAGGCATTCACTGAGGCTGTAAGTTTTCCCTTTAAGCCTAGATGTCTGTAACTGTGATTATTTATAGTGAGGAAAACATTCAAAGCAGTTTACTTACTTGGAGATTTGAACAGTGCCGATCTGCTCGGGTTGAGTGACTTTTCCTTTGCTGCTATCTCAGGTAAAGGAGTTCGACTCAATCTCTCGTCTGGACCAGTGGCAGACCACTATGCTGCTACGTATCAAGAAAACAATCCAGGGAGATGGTGGAGACCTGAAATGAGATGCCAGTAACACTGTGGCACACATCCCCGCTCATTCTTATTGTTCTTGTGTGACAATCTGGTTGAACACTTCTTTAGTAATGCTAGCTCTAATATGTGCCCCAATGCCAGTCTTTTACACATCTGCCAGTTCAGCGGTAGATAGTTCTGTAATAAGACTGGCATTCAGGATACCAGAGTTACATACTGTGTCAATATTGTCAATATTACAGAGGTTATCCTTAAAGAGATCTATTTAATGGCTGGTGTTGTCTTCTATCCCTTTAACCCAACACATGACACATCTTAACCACATTCTTATTTCTTTCACTTGGTGTGTGGCATGAAAAAACCCAGCAGAGCTTAAATCTGCCTGATGTTCACCTTAATGTTGTCACTGGCATTGTCTTGCATGATAATTGTTCGTGTTTCAAAATGTGGCCTCATGATGGTGCGATTTATTTTGAAATCGAAAAGATTTCATAAATTTTCAACTTCAGTTGAAAATTTATATTGCCTTCACTTTTGTTTCACCATTATTGTGCCATTTTGTGTCATCTGTTGCCTCTTCACTTGGTCTGTCAGAAGTATTGACTTCAGTAAATGATTACATGTTACATCTCTGGCTCATGAATGAACAATACATAGTTAAGTGATTTACTTAAGTGTATTGGTATTGCTGCACAGAGTTCCTTGATTAAATGAATCTACTATTCAGATGGATATATTGATCTATTTTGTTGATTTGTTTGTTAACTTGTGTGTTATTTTATAAATGCCCATGTCTAGCTATACTGTACTTCACTTCTTTTTTTAATAAGAATTATACTGCCAGTTTGGCCTGTTATCCTGGTCACACTTATTATTTTCATTTTAAGTTCTAAGTTATAGCTATATCTTGGACACAGTGTTGAGTTTGGGTTCTACTGACAGTACCTTAAATCTCATAATGGAATGTCACACCTGAAGCATGTTGTATCCAGAGTGTTTCAAACCTTTAAAGGACGTCAGGGAACACAAAATGGGGGAAAAAATGTGGTGGTTTCTTACTGAGAGACTGGAACTTAAAATAAATGTGTTATATTGTGTGCTACCCAATAAATATTAATGAAATGTTGACTTCATTGTGTCTAGACACTTGATTTAGCTTCCATTAAGAGGATAGTATACCTTGTCCCTTTACAGGGATACAGCATATGGGATTCTGTGCTTTTTGTTTTTAGAAAATGCATTTTTTAATGTTAACTGTTAACGTTCGACTGACTGACTGTATTTAGTCGTGTGGATTAGCTGCTAACGGCTACAGCTAGGTTAATACTCCCTCGATTCGGCCTGCTAAACTACCTGAACAAGCACAGTCTGTTCATGTTCAGAGTGATTTACCTCTTGTCTGGACCCCAGATATGCCCTCTCCTCTTCGTACAGAACCTCTCAGTTGTCCGAATGGTCTCCAAGTTGGTAAAAATGTGTTATTTGAGACTGTGGGAGAAAACGAGTTCAGAGCAGCTAATCTGCACAGCGGCCAGCAGCTCGTGTGTAAGGTGAGTTCAGTCTGTGAGACATGCGAGACACAGACCAGTTAGAATAGGATACATTTCTTTCTTTCTTTCTTTCTTTTTCTTTCTTTTTTCTTTCTGTTTATCTTTTCAGAATTCTTTCTTTTTTCATTTTTCTATTTCTTTCTTTTCATTTTCACAGTCGTTCTTATTTTTCCCCATCTTATTCTCGTCTTTAATGTTAATATTCTTTCTTTCTTTCTTTCTTTCTTTCTGTTTATCTTTTCTTTCTTTCTTTCTTTTTTCTTTTTTCTTTCTTTTTTCATTGTGTTCTTTTTTCATTGTGTTCTTTTTGCTTTCTGTCTTTCATTTTTGTTTTTCTTTTGTTTTTTTCATTCTTTTTGTTATTCCTTTCATTCATTTTTATGTTTTTTCTTTCTTTGTTTCTTTCATTTATATGCATTCTTTCTTTCTCTGTCTGTCTTGTTGTTTATATCTTTTCAACATGTTTTCTTTTTCCTTTCTCTTGATTTTCTTTCTTTTCCCTTGATTTTCTCTCTTTTTTTCTTTATTTATTTCTGTCTTTCATTTCATTTTTATGTTCTTTCTTTCCCCATATCCTCTTTCAGCATCATTTGTTTTCTCCTTTTGAGATTTTTCCCATCTCTAGATATTTGCGGTCAGTGGCCGTCTACCATCACCTTCCTGTCCACCCCAACCTCAGCCAGCTCACAGAAACTGTTGTTGGGGAAACAATGGCTTATGTGTTCTTTGATCTTGTGAGTTATGGAAACATGCGCACGTATGTTCAGACCTCCAGAAGCTTAGATGAAGATGAAGCTTCACGACTCTTTCATCAGATGGTGTCTGTTGTGGCACATTGTCACAACAATGATGTTGTTCTGCGAGACCTGAAATTAAGAAAATTTGTCTTTAAAAATCAAGAGAGGTGAGATTATTTTTTCATTATAATACAGAAGAATATCAGCTGCTGAAAGAAATAACTAATGTTCAAATGTAGAATTAAAATAAAGCCTTTTGGATTTGTATTATAGTTTATATTGTTAGTTCAACACAAACTGTATCTATATGTGTGCTCATATGGTTTATTATTATTTTTTAAACTTAGGACTATGTTGACTCTGTCCAACCTTGAAGATGCACATATGATGGAAAAAGGTGATGATTCTGTATATGGCAAGCACGGCTGCCCTGTCTATGTCAGTCCAGAGGGCCTACGGGCAGAGGGCAAGTACTCAGGGAAAGCAGCAGATGTATGGAGTCTTGGAGTTATGTTATACACCATTCTTGTTGGGCGTTACCCTTTCAGTGACTCAAACTCCAACATCCTCTTCAGTAAAATCCAGAGGTGTAAGTTCAGTCTTCCAGACACCCTCTCGCCTAAAGCCATGTGTCTGATACGGAGCATCCTTCGATTGGACCCTACAGAACGTCTAACGGCACAGGAAATCTTGGACCATCCTTGGTTTTCCTCTCCTAACTCTCAGAAAGTGTGGAGGAGTATGTTCTATCAAGATGATGATCAAATGGTTCCAGAATTTTGTAGCTAAGTGGCACAGCCAACTGATCTCAATCTGTGAAACCTGATATACTGCAGTAGCTGTTGCAAGGAAATCTGAGATTATCTCCTTCGCTCTATGAAAATAAAAAAGGCCCTTTGGCAAATCCTCACCATTTTCTACACTTAGTCCCTATTTGAGATAGTTGAAAATGTAAGAGTACTATTTTTAACTTGCATTTTTTGGCCAAGGTGTCATGGCCACTAGATGGCAATCATGCTCCAAGAATAAACTAATCTAGAGCTCCTGTTAAAGGGAATTTTGGCTTATCAAAAACTGGAAACATATTTGTGTTATGTTAACTGAATACATGTATAGAAATTGTAAAATTACTGTCAGCTGTCTTATTCTAAATGTTTTGGTATTCCAATGTCTGTGTGTTAGAACTATGCTCTCATTCTGTGTCATTTCCTTCTGGGTCTATTTGACTCCGCTAGAGGGCGCTGTGAGAATGAATACAGGATACCTCCGTCCCTCTGAGAGATTATAAGACACGCCCACGACAAGATACGCCCAATGTTTGACCCGCCCATCTACGCACTAGAATATAGGTTTCTGTTTGTTGTTTGTAAGGACCTAAAAAAAAGAAAAGAAATTGAACAGGAATTGATACAGGAAGTCCCAAAAAATCATTTGGAACTTCCTGTTTTTGTTCGTTTTTTGTTTGTTTGTTTGGAGAATGTGGTTTGTAGGCCCTTGCATTTATTTATTTATTCACTCACTTAACTTTTTAAACGTAAACTCAGCTAGCCCAGGTTAGCATTTAGATATTTAAATATAAAATATATATTTAGTGTACAAAGTTTATGTCACCATACAGGGACAAAAATGGTTGTAAAGGTAATAAATGCTACAGTGTTCACAAGCATTCAGCTTAAGCAATGTTAATTGTTTTTGAGTGCCAGTTCAACAAAATTTAAAGACTGCAGAAGAAGTTGCAGAGATCTTGAGTGGGAGTGCCTTGTAGTGGGGCTGTGGAGTGTCCAGCGTGTCTTGCCTTAGAAATATCTTATAGTGAGAGGGTCCTGTATTGTCTTACAGTACGAGTATCATACAGTCGGCGTTTCCTGTAGTCTTTTTAGTGGGAGTGCTTTGCAGTAGAAGTGTCTTATAGTGGTTGTGTACTTGGAGTGGGTGTGTCTTCCATTTTGGAATGTCTTGTAGTGGGAGTGTTTTGTAGTCTAACTAGTGGGAGTGTCTTTTAGTTGCAGTAGTCTTTTAGTTGGCATAGCATAGAAGTGTACTATAGTCTTGTAGTGAGTGTGTCTTGCCATCTTTTAGTGGGAAGGTCATAAAATATGTGTCCTGCAGTAGGAGAATCTTCTGTTCTGTAGTATTATTAATGGAAGTGTCTTACAGTAGGACTGTCTTAGTGGACATCTCCTGTAGTCTATCAGTAGAAGTATCTTTTTAGTGGGAGGGTCTTGCTGTAGAATTGTCTTAGTGGGCATCTCCTGTACTAATCTTGCAGTAGGAGTGTCTATTTAGTGGGAGGGTGCTGTAGTCTGGCAGTGGGCGTATCTATTTAGTGGGAGAGCCCTGCAGTGGGAGTGTCTTTTAGTGGGAGGGTCCTGTAGTCTGGCAGTGGAGTGTTTATTTAGTGGGAGAGTTGTGTAGTGGGAATGTCTTTTTAGTGTGAGGGTCCTTAAGAGTCTTGTAGTCCTGCAGTGTGAGTGTCTTTTTAGTCTGAGGGTCCTGTGGAGTCCTGTAGTCTTGTAGTGGGAGTGTCTTTTTAGTCTGAGGGTCCTGTAGAGTCCTGTAGTCTTGCAGTGGAAGTGTCTTTTAGTGGGAGGGTCCTGTAGTCTGGCAGTGGAGTGTTTATTTAGTGGGAGAGTCATGTAGTGGGAATGTCTTTTTAGTGGTAGAGTCCTGTAGTCTTGCAGTGGGCATGTCTTTTTAGTGTGAGGGTCCTCAAGAGTCCTGTAGTCCTGCAGTGGGAGTGTCTTTTAGTGTGAGGGTTCTGTGGTCAGGCAGTAGGAGTGTCTATTTAGTGCGAGAGTCCTGTAGAGTCCTGTAGTCTTGCAGTGGGAGGGTCCTGTAGTCTTGCAGTGAAGTGTTTATTTAGTGGGAGTGTCTTTTTAGTCTGAGGGTCCTGTAGAGTCCTGTAGTCTTGCAGTGGGAGTGTCTTTTAGTGGTGGAGTCCTGTAGTCTTGCAGTGGGAGTGTCTATTTAGTGGGAGGGTCATGTAGTTTAGCAGTGGGAGTGTCTTATCAGTGTGAGGCTCCTGTGGTCTTGCAGTAGAAGTATCTTAGTGGGCGTGTCCTGTAGGCTGTCAGTGGGAGGGTCCTGTAGTCTTGCACTGAGCGCTGTGGGCGGAGGGAGCGCTGGAGCAGCGGCGTGCTCCGCTCAGCGCTCGGGCGTTTTTCAGACAGTGAGCGAGATTAGCTCGTGACTCTTCGTGCCGGTAGCCGTGCTGGAAGCGGAGCTGAGGCCGAGCTGTATCCACAATGAAACAAACGCGGTCCGTGTGTCAGAGAGAGCGCTGCGAATAAAGAGCCGTGCGAGCGGACGAGGAGGCTGGAGCTGCAGTTAATCACAGAGGTAAGAGGAGAGGAGTTTGATGCATGGCTTCCTCTGTAGCTCACTGTCTCACGACAGCGCTGATGCTGAGAGGAGAGGAGCTCTACAGCAGCGTGTTTGTTATCATCGCCCTGAGCGCTGTGTGTGTGTGTGTGTGTGTGTGAGAGAGAGAGAGAGAGAGAGAGAGAGAGAGAGAGGGAGAGAGAGAGAGAGAGAGCTGGAGCTGAAATCGCTCGCTCTCCTCCACTTCATCAGCTTCGGACAGTTTAGTTGAAACCTCATGCTAAATAAATAACTTATAGTCTAGGGTGCATTTTTTTGCGTTCAGTTTAGTCCATAATCTCTTTATTTTTACTTTTTATGGATGTGGGATGTGTTGAAGTCTACTGTAGTCTCACTGTAGTGCTGAAGTGACACCCCTGCCTTTGTGGTTCGAAATTTGGCATCAACTTTTGTTGCTATCATTGAACTTGCAGGTGGAAACTTTTCACAGCCTGTCTACTGTCTTCATCTCCTGGGCAGGTTATAAAAAAAAAAAATGAAAATACTTTTATTTTGTAACATAAAACAAGATTGGTAGTCACAGTCTCTTTAAACGACGAAGACTAAAACCTAAACCCATCTCTTGTGAAGGTACTACAGTAACACTAGGAACTTCTATAGGATTACAACATGAGTCTTATAGTAAATCTGGACAATTGTTATAATTTACTACAGGATACTATACATGTATCACAAGCGGAATTTTACATACAGGCCTAAGTGAAAATATTATAGATTTTATTATTGTATTATTTTAGTTGTTATTGAAATATTATACAGCACTATATAAATCATATAGTTTCTTATTGTTTTGCCATGGTTCGTTTTTATTAGAGATTTGCCAGTCTGGGAAAATAGCACTTCACTGAGTGATGATCTGAATGATCTCAAGGTTAATTAAAGTAATGTGTTATTTTGGTTTGATATAGATAATGTATTAGCATGTGTTCAGTGCACATTACAATATCTTTACAGTTACTGATGCATATAGTAATATTGTACATTATGTCATTACAAACAGTTGAATGCACAAGTTTGTGTTTCCCTGATCAAATCACACATTTTGTTTACTTTCTAAATAATTACAGAATGCATTGTTTCTGCACATTTTAATGCACAGTTACTGTTTATTTGCTGGACTTTACATACTGTTCTCTGTAGAGGATGCGTCAACTTATTTTCACTTAGAAAGTCAACAAAACATTTGACTTTTGCATACGACTGCATGTGAGGGGTTCGAGATGAGTGTGGTTTTCTGAGCGGTTAGATCCACGATTAGCATTATAAGTGTTCACCCGTGCACTCGGTCAGAAGCTGAGCTCCGCACTGATTAGGGGCTGATGGGATCTCTGAACTTTTACTGGTACATTAATTTGCTGTGAGCTTTGCACTCTTGAAAATAAATGTAAGATGCTGTAGAAAAACCACATTTGATTCCCTAAAGAACCTGGGTAACTATTTTGTAAAATGATGTGTATTAGTGTGAACACCCTTTTTAAAGTTTAAAAACCCTTCAGATAATATAAATCTCCTAGAAAGAACCCCTTAACCCCTTAAAAAGCCTGGGCTCAACGGCAGGCCCAGATTTTCATTTCTTCTACTTCTATAACATAAGAACAGCTCAGCCAGTGTGCATTGAAGTCCCAGTAGTTACTGAATAATAAGCCTCAGTATGTAAAAAGCCTGAGATTTTAAGGGGTTAAATTGGAATAGAACCTTTACATTGTTTGAAGGCTACTTAAACCTAAAGGTGTTTCACCCCTAGATCTCTTTTTCAGACATGGTGGTTCCATGGCACAGCTCAAAGAATCTTTAATGTCACTTGTTTTTTAAAGAGTGTAGCTGCCATGCACAGGCTAATAGTAGCCGTCTACCTGAGCGTCATATTGATTGCTCATGTCCCGCATTGATTTCTCTTTAGTGTTAGATTTTTCTTTACCTGGAAATCAATGTGATGTAATGCAGTGATTAATTATTGATAAGGGATCTACATTGGGGTTCTAGTGAAGTCAACTCTAAAGTGAAGAATATTGCCTCTCTGCTGCACAATCAATTGCCTTTATAGGGGTCAGTAGCATACATGAGTTTTTAAGATCCATTTTTATTTATTAGTCTGCAGTAAGAAGGTGCTGTTTAGGGTCTAGTGTGGAACCTTTCACAGTCCTTGGAGTAGATTTGCATTGCATGTTCATTATAAACTACACTGACATTCACATACACTAGTACATGACAGCCACAACATAGATGCTTCAGTTGGCATTTTATAGCCGATTACAGCACTCTTCTCAATGTGACAGAGTTTTGGGATTGTTTTCACGCTTCCCTCACAGTTGAAATTATGTGAAATGTTTTCTCAGTTGTTGAAAGTCTAGCCATCTGTTGTATTAGTACTACATGAGGGAATTCTACATTTGATCAGCATCAGAAATTGTGGAAAAAGCCTAACAAAATAGGTTGTTTGCTCATGTTAAATGAGAAGCCATAGAAGACAATAGTCACCTCAACTTCTGTTGCTTTTACAGCAGCTTTTCAAAAGTTCAAGCTGACTGTTGTTACAAATGGCATGAAGATTAAGTCAGCTCAGTCACTGACATGAAAATGTAGCATGCATTATTACTGCAAACTGTGGAAACATGTCATCACTGTCATAACAAAACATTCTGTCTCTGAAATGGTAACTTAATAGGAGAAAGGAACTTTAGTGTAGGCATGTGCTGATATAAAAAATATGATATTTCTAAGGCATTTTTGCTCCAAACATGATCGGTCAGCCAATTAATCATTTTCATTTTGGCTGATCTATGTTGCAATTTTCTGATGTAAATAACATGAGCCAGGTAAGTGCACTCACGCTGTATTTGTATGCTCCTGCTACACCTGTAACAAAAGGTTGTAGCATAATTATGCATGACTTATTGAGCCAGATGCCTGTTAGTTTCAGTGAACCACTGTATGTGATATCATGTTATTTAAATAGGCAACTGAATTTAAAAAGCCAGTTAGAGTGAAAAACGAAAAAAGCTCATAAAAATCGGTCATTGGTCAATTTAGCGGATAAGAAATCAGAAAAAATATGTCCATAAAAATGAATGATCACTGTTCCCTATAATGTTTACCTTTTATCATGGTTTATGAGATTATCACAATATTCTATTTAAGCAAACACTACATATTCAAAATAGGGCTGGGCAATATGACAATTTAAACCATTATTGTGATAAATTATGCCACAATGCAATACACTTTTCTGAACATATTGTGGATATCATCAGTGCTTGTAGACACTGACCAACTGCATGTTTCATTATAAAGAGAACAAAATTAGTCTTGTTTAACTTGATGTGGTGCAGTGCAGTATGCCAGATATTGAATTGTCCACAGTTTTTAAAATGTAACACTAGATGTTCTTTTTTTCAGTTCATTGATCACGTCTGAAAAAATACATATCATGTATTGTGAAAATTTCTTGAAGTATCGTGATATTATATTTTTGCCATGTAGCCCAACTCTAATGCAAAATAACATATGTACAATCTTATGCAAAGGTTTTTTTGATTTTCTAAGTGTAAATAAGTTAACACATTTTCTACAGGGAATAAACTTAAACATGACATTTTTCTACAAATTTTAGTGCTCAATTTCTATTTATTTACTGAGTAGAACATACTGGAATAGAATACAACATAAAGTATAAAATTTGCCATAACTGTTGCAGAAGCTGTATTTTATGTTTTATTTTTTCTACATGTTAAATTCAATTATTGAAAATTGAACAAAACATGTAATTTGACTTGGGCACCCAAACTTTTGCATACAACTGTACATACATGGCCTGAATGTCATTTTTAATAGATGTAATCTACAATCATGTGTAATTGGTAATTATGTATTTTGGGGATTTGGGGATTTTGACTCTCTGTATAATAGCACAGCAGTCTTCATTCATTTCTGGAATCCTGTGGAAAGCATAGCATAGCAACTTTTACTGTGAGCTGTGAAGGTGCTCAGACCAATAACACATTAAAACAGCTGTACAAACATCAAATAAAGCATGGGATCACAATAGAGATATGTAGTAGGATCTTGCGTAACCAGAGCTACTCTGCATAACTGAAAAAGAAATTCTGGAGAAACTGCAACTTGTTTGACCGAAATGAAACATCGTTATTTTTTAAGTATCCTTGATAACAGTATAGTGTGTTGAAAATCACGGTATACCTTATAGTTAATTAACAGCACATGTCTACTTTAATGTATGTTGATGTAATGTGATTTTATTCCATGTAATTGTGGACAATTTCTATCGGTCTATTCTTCATGAAATGCTCACATCAAGCAAAGAGCAGCCGGTGTCAAATATGTTTAAAAATAGAAAGAAAAAAGGAAGAAAAATAGAAAAAATGAAAGACTTGACATGACAGCAGTGATATGGAAACTATGGAACCTTTAACCATGTCTTTAATTATCCATTTCTGGAACATGTGTGTAATAATATGTCAGTATAATAGGCTAATCATTGTGTAATGGTTGGTACTGAGGTCTGTCACCATCATGCCACAGTTTGATTACACACGGGTCCATCATCTTGTTCAGTTAGACTCACTCCTGCTTCTGAACTGTAAGATCATTTTCGTTATTTTAAAGCAAAATATGGCATGTTGGTTGTGCATGTTGTTTCCCATCTAGCTTTATTATTATTTATTTATGTATTTATTTGTATTTAAATAATAAATAAATGAATATTCTATTGTTAATGTTCCATTACCATCCAGCCCTGGCATGTACTGGATGAGACAGACTATTCACGTCCAGCTCATTCAACTATGGGCTTTTATAGACAACTTATGATATACAATAACAAGAGTTGCTCCACCACACCACACCGTCCTGTTTGTTATGTGCTGTATTTTCGATAGAAAAGAGAGTTTAAAGACATTCTCTCCCATTGTTTTCTTTATGTTGACCATGTGATGAAATTTGCAGTAATGAAGCACTTTCTGATGTGTTTTCAAAAATGCTAAATGTTAATGTAGTGTCTGAGTCATTATTTTTTACAGCTAGGATTCAAAGGCAGAGCACTTTCTTATAAGCAGCTCCAGTGATTTTGTAAATGAATGCCTGGGGTTAAAATACTCGAGTGCCCCATCACCTCTTTGGTGGCCTCACAGAAAAAAGGAAATGATTAAAAGCTTGTTGAAAGTCCTGCAGCTCAGAAAAAAGGCCTTAATTGGGTAATGACTTTGCTGATACGGACAGAAAAGCCTTAAGGGTTGGGTAAGTGTTGCGGATCTGCAGATCCTGCTCTATCTAATGGATCTCCCAGCACAGAATAGACTGCTGCATGTCTGGAAACGACACAAAGACAGGAGACTGCATTCACTGCTGTGCTGATAGCTGTCTCTCTCTGAACTGGAATACATTTGAAAATGTTTGAAATCTCATGCTGTAATATAGTCGAGCAGGTCTGACGCTGTGATTTTTGCAGTCGTCTGATTTAGAGATTTTTGGTTTTCTCAGCTCATTTACTCACAGGTGAATCACTGAGGTTTCTTTTTAGATTAAACATAGTAAAACATGTCCAGTGGAATTCCATTGAAAGCTGTTTTTGATTTAATATTTAGAAATCTCTTTTTGTAATATTTGTTTTAGTTTTGTAGTCCCTGTGGCTGATTTTTCTTCCTTTACTTTGCCATTCAATGTTTTGTTAACCACAGGAATTCAACAAATAGTTTATAAAGTCAGATATTTTCTTTCTTCTTTCTAATCTGTTTCTCTTTTAGCAGGAGCTGTTTGGCTGAGTGAAGAATACCTCTTTCTACTGTGATGTGCATCTATCAAAGACACTGTGTAGTGAGTCATTTTGGAATATTTTGCCATTTTGTGTCATTGAGGAATTTTCTACACAGTAGATTAGTTATGATATTAAAACCACCTCCTTGTATCTGCACTCATTGTTCATTTTATCAGCTCCACTTACTATATATGTGCACTTTGTAGTTCTACAGTTACAGACTGTAGTCCATCTGTCTCTCTGCATGATTTGTAAGCCCCCTTTTACCCAGTTCTTCAGTGGCCAGGACCACCACAGAGCAGGTGTTATTTGGGTGGTGGATCATTCTCAGCACTGCAGTGACACTTACGTGGTGGTGGTGTCTTAGTGTGTATCGCGCTGGTACGAGTGAATCAGACACAGCAGTGCTGCTGGACTGAGAATAGTCCACCAACCAAAAATATCCTATGACCACTGATGAACTAGGGGATGACCAGCACAAACTGTGCAGCAACAGACATCTACAAGGTGGACCAACAAGGTAGGTGTGTCTAACAGAGTGGACAGTGAGTGGACACAGTGTTTAAAAACTCCAGCAGCACTGCTGTGTTTGATCCACGCTTACCAGTGCAGTACACACTAACACCACCATGTCAGTGTGACTGCAGTGCTGAGAATGATCCACCACCCAAATAATACCTGCTCTGTGGTGGTCCTGTGGGGGTCCTGACCATTGACGAACAGGGTAAAAGGGAGGCATGATACATCATATGTAGTATCTGCATATAGTTTGAATCATATTCACTGTGCTCATATTTCACTAAAACAAGTCAAAAATGCTTGAAAATGCTTACATTTGAGCTTTTTCTGACCGTCACTAAGGATTTTGAAGCTAGGGTCACAGGTCAGATTTTATAGTTTGAAAGCTTGATGCTGTGGCTGGCCAGGCTCCTGTGAGCTGTGTTGTTTGACAGCGTTATTGCTGAGTAGAGCCGGTGAGATATCATGCTGGGAGCCCTGCTGCGATGCTGTCTCAGAGAGGGGTTGCTGCTCCTTTGCCTCTTAGCTTCAGACAGCTTAATTGCCATGTGTCAAGATGTATGGACACAGATTACAGGGAAAATTCAAGTCAAGGGAGAAGTATGTTGCAATAAATATCTGTTTTTGGGAAAGGTGGGTGCAACAGCACCTACTCTGCATAGTGTGTGGAGGTAGTTGTGATTGTTATGGCCACTTTGCTCACATCAACTTTATGCATGCATTTTTTGTCTGGTAGACAGATCCATTTAGATATGTCAAGAGCGGCTTTCGTATTTCTTACTAGGGATGCACGATGATATCGGAGTCATATAGAATCTTCCTTTTTGTTTTACCTGCAGTTGTAAATGGTACTATTCTCTACAATACTAATCCAGGTAAATGTCAATTTCATTTTCAAAATGAAAAAAAAATTCAAATGTTTATGTATTGTGCGCATAGTGTACATTAAATATAGTATATTGGCATCAGCCCACATTTACTATATCAGTGCATGCCTAATTCTCACCCTGCCATTTCATTATACAAGAGCTGTGAATGCTTGTATATGGATTTGTTGTTCATTAACAATGTGTGCTCAAGACGAGTAGAGCCTCCAAACAGTTTCTTCAGGTTAATGACCATTTATCCTAGAACTGTGTCAAGGAACATTAGCAGTTAACCACCAAACCCTGCTTAATTGCAGATTAAGTGGCTGGGTCAGTGCTTTGTTGTGCTGTGAAGATTAGATATTAAAAGGTACATGTAATGAAAACATAACCTTATCTTGTTTTTTTTTAGGAATAAAGGAGTTTAATGTAGTATGTAAACATTTTAAACATTAAGTTTCAAAACATACCATTCACTTCTTAGTCCTTTCAGTCCAGATATGGAAAAGCTGCAGAAACATCTCATTTTGAATTCATTGTTTTTTGTGATGTCATGAAAAACCAAAGCATTTACAGATATCCGCCTATTCAGCCTACAGCAGTTTAGATATGTCCATTCACACAGTGTTTGAGGCCATATTGGTTGTTGAATGCTGCACAACACAGGCAAGCTAATCAGAACAGAGCTTGTTTGCAGTCTTAACGAAACAGTAACAAAACAGCCTGTTTTATTCTAAGGGATAAAGAGAGGTTGTAAAGGGTCATATGAAAAAAATATGACTATTTTGGTACATAATAACACACACATCATAAGTGGAAAAAAAGAAAAATATAAGGACCCTTTAAAGTACTGTATATTCAGTAAGGGCTTGAAATACTGAGACTTAAAGAACTAAATAGATAAGCTATAACGATATTGGTCATTTTGAAACACTGTCATATCAGAAAAGCTTTAATATGCATTCATGTTAGTTAATGAAACATAATAATGAATTATTTACAGAAGTCTTTATGAGTGTAAACAAATGGCCCAGTGGACTTCAGTAGTAGTTAATTAACGGATAATTAACTACTTTCATAATTCCAGCCATTTTTATTTTATTGCTGCTCATTGTGCTCATTGTGGTGAACGATGGTGGTCAAGCAACATTTGTATAGTTATAATATATTCTGAAAAACCTTTTAAGGTAGACTTACTGTAACCTTGCCAGTGCTTTTTCTTGCAAACACTTTTCCTCCACCTTGTAAATTGTGTGTGATTGTATAGGGATACGACCCATGTAAGCTGTAATGTCTTCATCAGTATTCATAGGTCATTTCATGTTGGTTCAGTTCTCAAAGTGAACTTGTCACTTGACTGAAGACTGGCAAATTACAAAGTAAATTTCCAGAATAACCTCTGTTAACCTTGCGCAATTGCTGCGATAGGCAATCTTGATTATATATAGGCTATTCCTATGTGTGTTTATTTGTTTATTTATTTATTTAAATGTGCATAGGTGCATGCATGTGGAATCATACCTGAGTGAGTTATTGTTAAATATGCAACTTTTTTGAATGGAGTTGAAAGTCCTGCATTAGTAGTTTTCTCTCGATAAGAAATTTAAATAATTTTTTGGGCAAGCAAATAAATTGTTAATCAAAATATGCATCTAATCAGACGCTTTTTGTCTGAGGGCCAAAATATCTATTCTGAGTTGAGTTGGTTTGCTTTGCTTGGCTGGTTGCTGCCATAGTAGAGTATAAAATCAATATGAATAGAGGGAATTTTTGCACCCCTCTCACTGTAAGGCTGCTGGCTAAAGGTTAATTGCTTTTGCTAATGTTATTGAGGCCCCTGTAAAAGTGGGTCATGTGCACTGCTTGAGAAAATGGCCTTTGTGAAGGAAGCTGTTTCTAACTCAATTCATGATGAGACTGAGGCGCTGCTTTGCCTTCACTTCTGCGCAGAATTTCATATCACATCCTTATTGCTGAATGGCTGAGTATCGCTCAGGTCAGCTGCATCAGTTCCAGTTTACTACAATTCATACATACATTTGTGTACATTTCATTATTTCATGAAATATGTTATGTACAGATAGGAATTCAGACTTTTCTTACAACCAGGTTTCGGTTAGTTTCTTAATGGATTAAACTGAGACACTTTTATTACATTTGATGGAGTTTTATTCAGTTATTTAAATTGAAAACAATGCAAACTGTCTGAGATGTTCTTAATCTTCAGAAGTAAGGAATAGAAGCCAAGGGGGTTTTGTTTTGTTTAAGAAGTTAATAAACTGGCAAGATTTTGTAACTCACTGTGGTAATGAGAAAATAGTGGATAAGTGGCTTTTCCAGTAGCCTTTTAAGTGCAGTAACTGGTGTTGAAAATACAGAAATGTGAAATTTACAGTTGTTTGCAAAAGTTTGAACACCCCTAGTCAAAAGATGTTTTACTGATTTTTGAAAATAGGTTAATACATCCTCTATAGGGAATATACACACACACACACATTTCCTAAGCCGCATATACTTCGGTGGGAGCTGAAGCCTATCCCAACAGTCATTTGGTGGACTCTATAGGAAATTATATTGGCATAATTCTGTACATTTTGAGGCACAATTTTTATTCACTTACTGAGTTTAACATATTGAAAAACAAAAATAAATATAACATAAAGTATAAAAGGTGCCATAACTTTTGCACAAACTATATTTTTGTTTTTTTCCCCAGACATGTTCCCAATATGTTTAGCAAATAAACAGTAATTGTGCATTAAAATATGCAGAAGTATGTTCTCTGTAGAAAACATTTCCACTTACCACTTTATTCACTTTTAGAAAATCAACAAAATGTATAATTTGACCAGTGACCAATTACAAAACATGTAATTTGACCAACTTTTGAATGTGTACCTACTTGGGCCGAAGGACTGCTGGCCAGTAGAAACATAAAAAGGGAATAGAACTTGTCCATCCTTTGCAAACGTAAAATAGACCTTCCTGTCTGTTCATGTTTAGATGATAGACTTCTTAAATGCTCTGCAAAAAGGCATGTTTGATTTAGCCTTATCGAATGGCCAGTGCAGTACAGCTAAAATTGATATTGATGAGTGTCAAAGCAGGCCAGAAATATTATCAGGAACATTAGATTTTATGCTGTATACAAAGCTTCAGAGTGCTAAAACAAGATCACCCACAGAGTTTTTTGCAGCAAAATATGCAAATGCAATGCAAATTCCATAATGCATGTATTTGTAGTCAGATTTTTTTGCTGATGGTGCTGTTTCCCACATATCCCCCACATCTCCCTTGTTAATGTCTGTCTCGGTCTTCACTGATGGCCGGCTCCCTTTAAGATGATGATATTAAACTGTTTCAGGCAATAGCATGATGTTCATGCTTATAGCATTAACAGTGTGGGCAGTGTATGCTTGGCTGCAGTAGCACATTAAATTGGTCAGCTGTGTTTTATACATTGCAGCAGTCATAGCAGAGCCAGAGCCAACAAATACATTTTAAATTTAAACATTTATTATTTTTATTTACATTAAGATTAGGGTTTAGATCCCTCAAAAATCAAGAGCTAATCAAATTCTCTCTTCATTTTCAGTTCACATATATCACATTGAATTTTCTAAGGTTTCTCCAGAAATCAAATACTTCTGCCTTAGCTTAGGCAGTCCGCCCCC